GATCTGGTGTTTTTCAAATGGATTCCTTGAGAGAAAAACAGCAAAATGACAAGACGATTAATCGGTGGGGTTATTGAAAACGAAAAGTTGTACTGGGGTGAAATAGATTGTTTTATCTCTCCTGGAAACAAATTTGCTGAGGACGCTGTTTGCACTTGTGTTGTACCCCGTTTGATTGACACTGTTTTCTGTCCTAGTTAACCGCGCTACGTTGAACAAATACGCGCTGCTGTGTACCGCGGAGGTGGAGGCAGGGGAGGAACGGGATCGGCGTAAGAGCCGGAAATCCGAAGAGGAGACACTTTGAACAAGGGATCCGTGTGATTGAAAGAAACTCCATTCCGTATAACATTTGATGCTTATGTAACATGATGCAGAGCGGAAACTAAATTCCCCGGGGACGGGGGTAGACAAAAGTGAGAAGGAAAATCTCATTCGGATAAACGGAGAACGAGTGAGGGAGTGTAGGGGAGCTTCGTTTGGGTTAAGGAAGTGAATCACGAAACCATGCCACAAGTGTTTGGGTTAAGATAGTGGCCGCTTGTCGATTATCTGAACGTATTCAAACGAACGATGTCACTGGGTTCTAACTAGTGCTCATTCCCAATAAGAGCTATTTTAGTTAAGCCAAATTTACCGGTTGCACTGCATATTGTGCGGGGCATATTAACTAGCCACTACTGAGCGACTACACATTGTGGCGACTGCAGCAATAACGACAACAAATGTGTTGAGAAATACCTCAACACAAGGATATAATTCATATAGTAATCCATTCAGGAGTTCATAAGTAATCTGGTTATGCATGCAGTCGTCAGGGACCAAAATGATTTAGCACGTTTATGAATAGACCTCTGGCTATTTCGAATAAAATATAGCAAAACTACCGCTTCTTATGTGATTGCAAAGTGGATGATTAAAGTCACTCATGATCGTGTGCGCGAACTTGAAGTACAGGCTTGGTGATTTAGATTTCGTGTGTGTTGCTTTTGGAGACGCAATGAGAAAAGTGACCGATCGGAAACATTGCCCAGTTTTCGAATCTGGGAATTAGACGACTCGTGAAAATCAAAGGAAGTGAAAACAATTGCAAAGAAGCAAGTGTTCAGCGTCTATCGCGTTAATGGAAGCCGTTTGTTGTTATATACTAAATAACTCCTGGGTAGATTTCCTCTGCACAGTCCGTCGTTGTTTAAGATCAGATCAATTCGCCTTGTTGGAGCAAAAATGAGATGATTAAAATATTCTGTTTGAGAGGTAACCAAATTAAAAAAGACAGTTAAATTTCAAAATAAAAAGTAAAATGATAGAGAAATATTGAATAGTAATTGTTGTTGCTATTTTTTGACAAGAGACTGAGTTCGAAACACTCAACCGAACAACCGGCAATCAAATACGAGACCCGACACGTGACATGATTCGGAATAGGCTGAAATATAAATGTCTCGTTCATTTCTGAAGGAAGCTAAATGTCAACCTAATAATCTGATAACCAAGGCCCCTAGGCAGACTTTCACGTTTCGAGTGTCTGTATTGTGCAATAGTTTCACTTATTTTATAAAATGTCCGACTGGAACAGATGAGCTTGCACAATATAACTGGAGTTGTTTGAAGCTGTATGAAGTAATCAAGCGAACTGGCTGACAAAACGAAAAGTATGTTAAACAATCTTTCCGGTTGAAAAATGTACAGTCGACAATTTTCTTTTGATTTCCACAGACCCGATGCTCAAAAACACGAATGTTTGTTCAAACGTTTTCTATTTCCGAGTATGAATTTAACAAAACCCCTATTGGCCATCGAGTTTTAGAAAGAATAGAACACTAGAATTTATAATATCAAAAATGGGAGAATCTGCAACAAAACTGATGCTCGCTTCCTTAGGAAAAATGATGTCACGGAAAACTTGCTTGCTCTTCAGCCTGAATATATGATTCACGTTTTGCTAGACTGAATACAGTTCTGTGTCAGGCTTTTCTAGCTTCGCTAAGGTCTGTGAGCAAAGATTTACAAACGCATTGAACATCTATTCGAATTTTCTTGGGACTTTTCAAAAGTCTTTGTCCCTATCCGGACTGGAATACTGAGCGTTCTTGGTGGGGGGCCAAAACGCTTAACTTGGAGCTGCACAGTGTCAAAATGTTGAATGTTTATATGGCACTTGTTCAGTTCACAGACACAAAAGTTTGTATACACTTGTTGTTTTCTTGCAAATCTCGAGAAGTTCATCCATTCCCAATAGTTCGATAAATTGTTTATCAAAAGCTATGTGGATGTAAACGTGAACTGCCGGCCGTCGGCCGCGTAGATCCGCGCTTAGTGTTTTCATTCCTAACCCAAAGGTTTGCGCATCATGTTCTGGCAAGAACACAAAAAGTACATATTGCCAATCATTCCCAACAATCAAAAAATAGCTGTTCACAAACAAGAATCAGTCATTAAGCTAAATGGCTTTTCAAATTCACATAAGATCTCCAAAAAATGGGTCAGCTTCACGGACACAATGCTCTGTTATTTAATGGAAGAATAGTATGACGGGTTTTCGAATCGCTTCTGACTGCGGTGTATGTGTGTGCTTGTTTAATGCGTGAGCAAATCCTCCCATTGGCTTTTTTCATTCGAACTCCTACTTAACTGGTAATTACTCAATAAGCCGATCTACTAATCGGTTATCCTTCCATGAATCTGCAGCATAGTTTATTATGTTCTAGATAGCCGGTTTATGGCTCGCGCGCAAGAGAGTGCAAAAACATATGACGCTGATATAATTAGTTCACGTAAACCTGGCCTCAGTAAGATTAAGGTATGAATGGGATTACTGTTGTTCATGTTACATCACTCAAGAATAAAGGGAACCCAAACAGGAGACCGGAAGCAGATTATGATCGGTAATTTATCATCGCATTGTATGCAACTGAACACAAGGCTGGCAGAAAATTAGATGAATAATATCAGATAGGTAGATAGATAGATTGATAAAATTATGGATAGCAAGATGGTCAGAAAGATGGAGCAAAAGTGTACCACGTTTTAAAAGTGACGCAATGATTATCATCATTATTGTCTCTGTCTGTGAGTTAATCTCTCCACTGCGTCGTTCAGAACCCCTGGTTTAGACGCATGAGCTGGACACTATGTAGGTCTTCGATCACATCTGGGTGTGGTTAGGGAATAAAACACACTAAGGCAAAAACATCTATGCAGAACGGCTTCCAAACGTGATGATAAACTGGTACTGAGCGATCAAAAATAGACTGATAAGTTGTTTTGGATCCAACTGAGTCATCCGCGGCGGAGAAGGTTGGTTTCATATGTTCGATTGGGACAGTTGAATTGCCCTACCAACACATATGCTATTGGAAATGGATATACATTGAACAGTTATGCAGTTGATCGATTTAACCGTGATGCATTTGGGTATTTGAAACACTGACTAACCAGTTACTGCCCATCTGACCAACCTCGGAGTTCGAGTTATATACCTTGAGTGTTTCTCTTATATACTTGCCATGAGCAGTTTTCATAGTATTTTGAAAAGAGCAAAGTATTACTGACCACAACAAAATAAACGCGACAAACCTTTGACATTCTGTTGCTCCGAAGTTTGCAATAGGCCTCTGTTGATCATTGATGAAAAGATGTCCATTACAGAGTCGATCTCTGTCAATGTTTAGTGACAGAGACCGACCAGAGCTTTATCATTAACCGTTCATTGGACGGATTAAACACGCCCGATATTAGCAAATGCGATTCATAACTATTCACGGCCCGTTACTAGCCGTAATAAACTCGATGGTATAAAGCTTATCGTTCAACGGACGGCGGAATTCTCGGTAGAAATCAGCTCATCAAAAGCTATCTGCACGCGATTCTGTGATGACTGCTCACGTGTATGTACCGCTGTGATGTGACCGCTTGAATGACCCCAGGGTGTGCATTACACAATCGTGACCAGAAACTGAAAGATCAGATGAAATTCGGGCGTTGATACTCTTATATAATGTACACTGGTGGCAAATCCCTTCAAGGCTTCTCACGGGCTTTGTATTGCACAATATCATTGAACAGGTGGTACAGGTGTAACCACTGGTGTATATTCAAAATCAACTGTTCCTCCGTTCCAATTAGTTTGTAGTATGTTGGGATTCCTAAAGGAAAACAAAATTGTATTTTCTTTATCGGACATGGAGTCGACGAAGGAATTCGGAATCAGTCCCAGGATAATTGTTTTGTTCTAAGTTATCATAACTGATAGTTTTGTTTTGTTTGGGGTTGGGGAATTCGGTGAGAGGTGGTTAATATTTTAACAAAGGGAATCTAAAAATCGATGTACTAAGAAATGGGCAGGCTGATAACAATTGGTGTACTCGTTGAGATTTGGTTCGTACGAATGTGGATGTCAGTTTGTGGATCACAAATTAATTACGCTACTTTTATGTTAGTCATTGTTTAACAGGGCATACAATCGTGGAGATGCTGCTGCTGCTTGAATAAAGAGGACTCACATTGGTGTACGATAGGAAAAACAGATTGATCATAACCGCTCGTTTTATTCTGTTTTATTCTCCTATTTGTATACCTATGATCCTCAACATTTTACGCTACAAATAGTCTCTCAATAACTGGGTCCCTGAATCCGAAAGTAGTGAACTGAACAAAGTGATTTTTATTACAGAGTGATCAATACTCCCTTTCGGGTTCATGAGTCATTAATGGAACTAGCCCATGGAAATGAGGTTTGAATGAGACACCACTTCACTTGCTACGTTCTCTTTGTCATCACTTGCTTGGTACACGAGAAACGAATAAGGCTTACATGATGTATTTGGTTCAGACTATGGGTTTTTTCATTGCAATTTATGTCTCTATCCTGTGCAACACAGTGGATTATTATTTTCCTGTATGCAATCGGGGTACTACTGGTTGTGGCCAAGCAAGCAACCTGTAGACAGTATGGATGCCATGCAGTGTCCAGGCCAAAAGCCAACACTTCCACAGTCATGATGGTCCGGCTGAACTCGAATGTCACTCAACCGCCCATCCGTCAACCGCAAACTCACGCGTTCGGGATCACGAGGTCCAGCCGGCTGAAGTGGTTGCGGCACGTGTGCACTCGAATTGCGCAGAAATACGATCGACCAAAAATCAAACATCCAGTGACAGTGATGACCATGACAAATGAGAATACTATCGGTGAACTTGGAACACAAAGGAAATGTGTCCAAATGCGACCGCATTCATTTTTCGCCTTGGATACTCGATTTTTTCACATCATATTTATCGGTAAGCAAACAGTGATCAACCAATCATCCATCCATCCATTTATTCACTAAGGTACCGACAAGCCTTATTTAGGCAGAAGATCCTTACTTAGGAAAAATAAACCAATATTTTGGAGAAGAACACAATATTTTCAACATTCTGTTGTGTAGAGAAAGACGCTATCAACAGAGTTTCAAAAGTTTTTAGCACATTTCACTGCATTGTAAGTTCATTCAAATTGAATTCTTTAAAACTATGTTGAAGATTAGTCTTCGTTTATTAAGAGGAGCACAATAACAATTGTTTTGCTACAAGTAAGTCGAAATTAGTTGTAAAAACATGCAGGTGTATTTCGGTGAAGAAAAAAAAATTATTGCTTATTCTACCGCAAGTCAAAGCATCCAAAATTGGTCCATCTTCCTTCTCCCGGACCGTTCATGTCATCCAGACTGTTTATCTCATTTTCGTCCGATTACAGTCAACACTGTCCCACTTTCTTTGCCATCTCCCTCTGGCTGACAGTCACCAAAAACGGTGTTCATTATTTGACCACACCTACTGGTAACACTGAGTCTTGGACACCCTATCTCTCCCCATGCATATCTCTAATATCCCCGACATCGCTGATCCACATCCCCATTCCCCAAGGCAAGCGACTCGTTGCATAGACGATTGGCACTAGGTGGCCTCTGGCACATCCGTATAGATGGTCATCCACATGCTCTTTCAGACTACTCCCTTTCTCTCTCGCGCTCTAAATCGCCTTGCGCACATACGCTTTTCTGGCAAGCGGTACTTTGACTCCAGACAGAAGAAGAGCATATAATGAGAACCCTTCGTTCACATGATATTGCCGTAAGTATGAAACAAATGGGGAATGAGTCACGGTTAATGATTGTCCGTCTGCATTTGTGTATGTGTGTGATATCTGGAGAACCGGTGAGGCGGGAATGATGAGTCGATACAATAATCTCCGCTCCGTTTTTGATTTAGTTTTATTGGTAACATTATTATTGTTGCTGCTTTTTTCTGTCCGCTTGCTAAGACAGCACATGAAACGGTATTGTAAAATATTTCGCATAATTGCCGACATGTAATAATTGAATTCAAAAGGAGTGCCAGTCATGCCGATGTCCGGCTCAGTAGGCAGTGTACTGTGAGGTGTGGTGTGGTGTAATCCAGTCGGGAAACCAGATCAACTTTGTTCCAACGATTAACCTTTGGGCAGTGATAACGCATCCTAATTTCCCATCTGGTACTTCATCCCGTTGAAATTTAACCAAGCAGGTAATTTCCCACTATAGTTGTGTATACAAAGTCCGACAGGCGTAGATGTATGATGAATATACAGGCAATCATACAGATGTTATTTATTTAGGCATTTTGACCTTGCAAGTGCAAAGGAATTTTCCGTTTAATATGATAAAATTTGTGCGTTCAGTGTGTGGCATAAATGATAATCCTTGGTTGAAATAACTGCATTTATCAACTGACTACTTGTCAGTAGTCTGACAAATTCTGACGCCGTTGAGCACAAGTAGGCTCTACTCAACCACATTCTTTGAGACCAGCATTCGCATTTCTCGGTTGTGTCATGCACCGTGGAAAAAAAAATATAAATTGAATTTAAATATAATATAATCCAAGCAAAAGCATGAAAGGACTTATCGGCTTGTAGTTGATTTCTCGGATGTTTGCAATGAGGTATCCTAAAACAGTATTAGATTGATCGCAATATTCAGCGATCAGTACCGGGCGAAAGACCCTGGTTTCGTCCTGGCTGTTATTGTGCGTTTAATTTGAAACAAACTGCTATCATTGGTGCAGCATCGAGGGCAACATTCCGCTGTTCTACATCTGGTAAGATTTGTGGGTATATTAGGCCTCCCTATTAGCTGACGACTTTGAATCTCTCGCTATCAATTTATTTCGTAGTAAAGAGATTACGTTTCTAAGCGTAAACACGATGGTCAATAAACGATGAGGCAGCTTACTGGAATTTTGATTAAAATTATATGGATGGGGGATTTCTTACAACGATGCTATGATTCAAACGCTCCAGTCAAATCGATATTCCCACTAAGTATCCACCCGTTAAGTGTTTGTTAGACTTGCAATCAATATCTTTCTTTGTTTTATCAAAAACTCACACAATCCCGAATTCGGACCCCCTTTTGTCAGGTTTGGGCCTGATAACATCCACGTATCTGGTTGCTCAGGTTTTTCTGTTGCACCAAGTTCACTCCGGATCGATGAATTTCGCTCGGAAATCGGGTGAACTAAGCAATCAAACCAACTTGGCCAACTGTCGGTCTGAGGTTGCAGTACCGGTAGACTCGGGATTTCCCGTGCTACAAATGACAGGAATCGCGCTGGCTATTTGTTTAGTACTCCTGCAAACTGCGTTCATTGGATGTGGTCCCAAGGTAAGTTTTCCCATCCGAGTACTGTGTGTGTGCGTGCGTGTGTGCGGGCGGGTGTAGGTGCTTTTCTCGCATTTTTCTCATTTGTAAAAAATGGGATACCGGTAATTAGGAGGGAGTGTCGCACTGAACCGATCATAAAAATCAATGTCAGTGAAAAGATTTGAATTAAAAAAAAGTTTGTGAAAGAGTGAGAGCTCACAGGCGGGTGGGGGGAGGGGAGTACCGGCGTTGATGAAAAACTACCTCGACGAAAGAATCGTCATGTCAACCAGCTAATTGCAAAATGATCTGTGAAACAGATAGACATCGATATTTAATTATCGGTTTAAATTTTAGCAACCAGATCTTATCACTACTGTGTTATAGTGAATCGATTGTTCAGTACAAGGTAAAGGATGATTGAGGAATAGGAGGTGGGACAAGATAACACAGAACCAACTGGATGATGTTTTTAGATGAGTGGGCTATAGGGGCTATAGTTTGGCCATCGCCAGATCAATTAATCAATGTGAGCTAGTTATTTCTATCTGCCACTGAATCGATCACGTGTATGGAGCTAAAATTACCCGCACAATAGATTTTAATTTGCTCAACTTCGGTTATCTCTATTTTAGCTTTGGCCCATCTATATGTTACGTTCCTATTGGGTCTAAAGACTTGATGTGGGCTCGTGATAGTACAAGTTCAGTGTGATTATTTCGCCAGACTGCGTGGTTTCCCATTTTGACCGTACATGTTGTGACCAGTGGGGAGTTGATCATTCGCATTTAGGGACTGGTTTTCCTCAATATTTACATTACCGTACCGTGTTGCTCAGTCAATTATGTATTCTCCTTAATTTGGAACAATCCTCCATCATAAACGGCTTTCATGAATCTGTAGAACTTGCACTGTTGTTGCGTGTTATGTCCTAAACAAACCGGGCCGGTTTCGGCAACAACCTTTCCGTAGCACCACGCAGCAAAATTCAGGTATATGGCATTTTTCTTCACATTCAACTCAGAGTTCATTGTGAGACATGGTGTGGGATAAATATTACTGATTTGTACTGACCGTTGTTCAGACTCCATATGCATACGCAATGCTAAGTACATCCAGTCATTCACATATTTAGGAATTACCAAACTCGGATTACGCTCTCACTAGGGCCCATCAGTATAGTATAACAACCCCTAATCCGAGATTTGAATTTTGAACCCCTTGCACGGACGGTGCGTGTTACTATTGTGTCAACCAGCTCACACCGCTTCCAACAGGAATTACCAATTAATCTTTCTACCTACTTCGGTTTTTGTTTAGGAGCACAATAACTTACATTCTGTTCACTCCAAGAAAAAAACCGTCACTAACTCAGGACTACCTAGCAATCAAATCGTCTGGGTCAGATTTGCCCACTCATTGAAAGCTGTTTAGAACTGTGGTAACACACCCGCCTTGGATGTAATGGACCTGTAGTTCAAAGGACTCACGGGATTGTACACATTCAATATTGATGAACTATAATGTGAGCAACACCTGCACCCAAAGGAGTCTAAATGTAGGATTGGTTAGATAAACTGATGATAGTGCAATAACAAGCAGTCTGAAGGATTTTCAATCCAAATCGACATTTCTTTACTCGAGGTCGAGCACAGGAAGCTTCTAACTGTAATCTCTCTCTCAAACAAGACGCCTTTCTTCTACGAGAATTTCACTGAACTGCCGAAATTATTTGGACTTTAGAAATATCCTTCGATTGAACTCAGCAGGCTGCAAGTACCATGCCACGCAATCGAACTTGATGATTCTTTAATTAAAATTAGCCTAAACTGTATGTAGTTCTATAGTTCTGACCGAGATCTTCTTGTGATTCGACAGCCCAAATCAAATGTAATTGATACAACCCGTCGAAAATACTTAACACGTGCAAACCGGGAGCCAGATATCTTGTCCGTCGATGAAACGTAAGAGGTACTAGTAGCATCTACATCCCACTAATTTTTCTGTGCATTAGACATACAGCCCTCGGTAAGATTAAGTTAAGGAAAAATCTGCTCACGGTTGTCATAGGGGATTTGAAACATGCTCATAAAAAATTAACTCAGTGACCTGTCGATGGCAGAAATTGTACAACTCGCAGCAAGAAAAAACTGAACATTTAGTTATTCATTTGTACACGATAATGTAATCTTAGATCCCCTCCAAAATAACTCTTCTGTACATCATACGTATCAGATTTACATCTCTCTAGCCAAAAATGGCAAAGAAAGATGGTCTAGAAAATAATGACGTGTCAGACAAGGGACCTTTTTATTGATAAAGTTCGCAATCCGACAGATCGAAAAACGTTTTAGGGGAACTGTAGTGCCGCTAGGAGGAGGACTGAAGGGGGCCGTGAATGTTACCAGATTTGCAGTGTCATGAAAACCTCTTTGGCATAAAGGCCAAAGATCGATGGTCGTCTAAAATTCATAACTGAGGAACTTGTTCAGGTTTTTGTCTCAGCAACCTCTGCTTGTGTTTCACTCCAGATGAAAACATTTAAAAGAACTGAATGCTTGTCTAGAGGCCATTTACATCAAACCCTTAGGGGACGGCGAGAACGATGGGAAACCTCTTGAACCAATCTTGAACAAATGTGCTGTGCCTTTGGCTGAACAGTTGTTTAATAAATGAAAAGACGAAATAAAATCAATATGGCTGACTGTTGGTGCCAGATGCTCATTTCCTTTTCACCTTAAAAAACCTGAACATCTTCACCTTTACGCACACCTATGTATATTGCCTAATAAAACCCGTAGGAAAGCTTAATTTCAGATCAAAATTTTATGTTTTTAACACAAAAATAAAGTGCATTCATTCTAAGCCAATTGATCAACCTTCAACCCTTCGACAGACCGGAAAGAAACGATTTCCTTCTTCGGGTAGAATGTTCGTTTACTTTTCCTGCCCGCTAGCGTGTGGACGTCCTTGCTTGTTCCCCATCCGACAGACCGACTGCATGTGTATGTGCTGAAACGAAACGAAATGCCAAATTCACTACACGGTCTTTGTTGTCTTTTCTTGACCGTGACACATTTCCCAAAAGATATTTTTATCTGAACTAAACTGCCAACTCGGGGGCAGGAACCTGACCTTGGATACCTGCTGCTCATTGGAATGAACTATTGTTTGTCGGAATAAACCAGTTTAACTCATTCACAGGTACCATCTTCTATGCAAGCCCGAAGGTTCCCGGAGTGCTTCGATTCACCCTAACTTTTCTAACTTTTTCGCCACTTATCTTTCACAGAAGATATCCATCACACAGTGCTAGCGTTGGATGTCAAGTTGATACAAATATTCTTAAGTCCAGACATGTACACATTATTATCTTCAATTTTCCACTGAGATTCATTAGTTTGCATTCCTCTCATGCTGGACGTGAATGGAATGATTTAATTCCTAACAAACAACCAGAGCCACTTCTGATCTAATGTGATTATCCGTGGCTGTCAGTCGGTTTTCTGACAATCCCAGCGAATAGCACGTACTAAGGTGTCAATGTTTCCACAGTTCATGCCTAGTCTATGAACGTAGTAGATGCATTTCGAAATGTGAGCCGACTCTTATTTTAAGTGTTGTATTTAGTGAGCCTAAGAAACGTCTGGTATGATTTATTAACTTTAGCTTTGAACTACATTTGTTGCAATATTCTCCGATAATCAACAAGCCCCAAGATCAGCAAACCTTTCCGGGGTAGAATTTCGAAAGAACAGACCATATCGCAATCATACTCAATTTATTTGCATCTTCCGTACNTAAGATGTGGCGAACTCACCCTGGACATAGATCTTGCAGCTCTGTAGTATAATGTTTTTTTAAAAAGCTTTTTTAACTGATTAAGTGGTATCTAATTTTGCACCTTCTATGTAATTTTTCTACCTTCTGTCATATATATTTATATTGTATATATGATCATGATTCTATCGACGGGTTTATATCACAGTGAGCTTGATGATGACTATAGGAATGATGTGAAATCTGCCGCACGAATACTGCTTTCGGAGAGATCCTTGGCTCTCCATCCCAGTTTATTCAGACGAGCTGACAGTCACGCAATGAACTCATGTTCTTCATTGTGTTTATGTTCTGGTTGAAGTGTGTATGGTGTAAACAACTGAGAACAGAAAATTAAATGTGTGGGGTTTAGCTGATTGTATTTCTTCAATTGGGTTGGAGTGAAAGTATATTTCTGTAAATGTTTTCAATATTTGGCAGTTTTAGTACCACAATTTGAAGGAATGAGTCATCATCTTGTCCACATAAACTACAATGTCTAAATTAAATCTCGGAACTTCCCTACCACACCATTGAACCAAAGAGACAGTGGTAAACCGGCTCATTTTCACTACTTTATTATGGACCCGGATAGTGACTGAGGTGAACATGCACGAGGGCTGCAGAAAACAATGTGAAAGGTTGAGATCGGATGTGGTGAAATATGAGTTTACATTGGTGATTCAGCATTAAGCAGTTCACCCATTGCTTCTATCAACTATTCTTGATAAGATACTGGTTACACAATCGGGGTGGTGAGTGAATGATCAAGGCAAGCCGAGGATTTGAAAAAGTTATTTCCGAGTGCATCAGAGGGGGTCTCGTATTAAGGTCACGATTGCTTTCAATACGGATGCCAGACACCTCCTGATCTTCGTTGATCGCAGCCATGTGGTGGATCAGAATAACCTAATTCGAATAACCAAATGATTTATCTCGGCTACATGGGTGATGACTGAAGTTACTTTAGTCCTAGGCAGTTCGTTATTAAGTTCGTTGATGGTGATACTCTCACATTGGTCAAACGTAGTGGAAAAAGCAAATGCAAAATGAGGTTGTCCCTCTATTTACTCATAACTGGGAGTAATGAATTAATAATAGAAGATTCAGTAAAACCATATGGTATGAGTTTGGATTCATAAAACCAGTCGTGAAGTATCCCCTTATAACCGCCAGTTCATCCGTGTGTTTTCTGTTAGAGGAATAGTTTCCTCTTCACAGTGAACACGTTTTGTTTTATCAAAGCTGTTTCAATACAAATCTGTGCAAACTAACCAGAGGATTCCTTCCTTTGAGTCTGTCGACAGAGTTACTAACGCCTGCTGCTCAAGACAGTGAGTAAGATCACATGCGTACCGGCTGGCTATGAAAACAAATTATGCATTCATTACCCGATCAGCTTCGCTTCCCACGACCCGTGTGAACAGATTTCAAGAGTGTATCGAGTGAATCACAATACTATTGGAACTGTAGTAGATGATCGAATTGTATAAGAAAAGTAGCTGAAGCGAGCAAGCTGTACTACTATGAAACGTCTCCAAACAACAGTTCCAGCCCGGAGAACCCTTCCACACAACAAGCCAACCATTGTTCCAAGATATCATCTCATCTATCAAATTTTGTTTTTGGAAATCTCTTTCATCTGGAAACAATTTATTTCTAGCTTTATTGGGAGAAACATGTTTAGAACACGACTACTGGAAGAATCGATGAGTCTATTCTTTGAGAAGTCCTACTTGCAGTTCAATGCTTGGTATTACTTTTGCGTAAATTTGAAAAGTAGTNAAAGTAGTTGAGAATAAAACTGACAGAGCAGCAAATATGCTACAGCTGAGTAATCGGACCATTTTTCCTATTTACTTTTCGTGAGTGTTTCTGAAACGAAAAGGTCGTTAATGTCAAAAATACTTGCATATGGTCTATTGGAATTCGAATAATTTAAAACCGCGTATCCAAGTAAATTCAAAATTTAAATGCGCCAATGTGGTGTGGGAAGTGAACACATCAAACACAATTTTGCTGGTAGATTTTCGGTTGTCGGATCGAATGTGCTGCCTGGAGAAACTCGACGGTTCATTAGAGATTAGATTCCAATAATGATTTTTCTCCATCCCCATATTATTTCTGATAGATATCCGCGAAACACTCCCTGAATACCTATCTCTGAATGTATTTTTTTCATACTCGCGTAACTGAAAAGGCTTTTATTGATTCGCGATGTCGCTTAATAAGGACAGGTCCATAAACGTTTCATTTAGCAGCTCACTTTTTTCCACCCTGGTGGAATCATTGACCGGAGACTAATGTGTCCAATTTCCGGATATCATTTGGACATGAAACAATCCACAACAACGACAACGATAACAATAAAAACACTGGGGAATTTCCACCAGGTTTTAAAACAGAAGTTTCAGAGTGAATTGGCTTAGGCGGTTAAGAGGAGATTCTGTGTTTTTGATAGGCAGGTATACGTTGAAAAAGTCGTTGAAGCGTTTTGCTTTTTAATCAGTTACAACACTTATCTTGGATTAAAAAAGGATTACTTAACATTATCAAGGTGTCCCTTTATTAATCTATCAATGCAGCGAGTAATATAATAACTTTCGATGTGAACTAAAAGATTAATAAAGGATAAAACTGACCGTTTTCCGCAGATTGGTTCAATAAATTGGACGCCACTTTTTCTTTCCTCAAAAACAACACCTGAACAGAATACTACAAATGCAAGATGCTTTTAGTTTCTTATAACAAAATGCGATTCGTTCGCTTCANAAGATGCTTTTAGTTTCTTATAACAAAATGCGATTCGTTCGCTTCAGAATCAATAGAAACAACCACGCTGGTATTCATTTACTTTTATTATTCTAATTTATTTTTGTTGAATGTTTAGAAGTGCAACAATTTTCACGATGAGGCTGTCATATGATACATGAAAACCTGGAAATGTCCTGAGACGGGGTTGAATTTGGAACATCCCTGGGCATTGGAACGGCCAAACAGCACTGAAAATGATTTTCTAATTTTAAATACCAAAGTGAAATACCGATATCCTAATGTTCAAAGACGACGAGAGTGGCTGGAACAAAGTAAACATCGGTGCTCTGTTGNTTGGCCTCTGGTAACTGTCTGCTGAACACTGACCCATATTTCTATGACGCGGGTTCCACACGAATGTTTCATGCGGGTTGAAACAAAATGGTTTCTGTCCGAGACGCAACGACTCCATTTCATATGGTTCTGTATTTCTTTTTCCGATTACGCAAGACCGCGTGAGTGAAAAGCGTACGAAACTCCGCATTTGTTCTCAGCGATCGATAAGTGAAGTGTAAACCATACCTGTTATCTTTCATCTCTCTTCTAGGCTGCTGTGTGAAACGAAAATATGTGTGGTGCAGGTGGCGAGGGTGTCTAGTGGAAACAATGGTTATCATGGTCATCAAGTTTGACTCTAACCAAACAAAACATATGATGTAGCAGGAGATTGAAATGAAACATTTCGGGGACCTATTTAGGTGTTAACACGTTCTGTAGTTGTCTGTGCAGTTACTCCACTAAAATCAATCGGAGTTCGAACTGAGAGTGTGATTGCAAACCTGAAGTATGTGATCTAATGTGCTTAAGTCAGGAGGATGATGAATCCTGTTTAAGCATAATTAGGCACAACTTGACTATGCGAAGGAAATTTTAATTCATCTAGGGCTTGTCCTTGGCCATTTCAATGAGTTGATTTTGGGATATATTGTACATTTTCAACTATAATCACATTTAGCCAACGTTTTTGTTACCAGTGAATTCATTAGTAATCTAACTATGATACGTATCAGGAATAGATATTAAGAATTGGATGCGCGAATTGTACTTTGCATGACAAAGAAATCATAAAAATTTCGTTGTTGGTTAACTTGAAACCATTCTGAAGGTGTTCCAGTGTGCGAAATCCGTGTCAAATGAAATGCGGACAGCCTTTTTCGGGAATTACCCCCATTCGCGAAACGAAATTAAACAGCCTGGTCTGTGTCTTGTTTTTCATTTCCCTGTCCACACAGACGAGCTATCGGGCACCCAGCACACTGGAATTGTGGCTCCTATCTCATCTGTTCAGTACCAATTTGATTATGTGGTTTATCAATCATGGACATCCGGTTCCAATTGGCACATTCACTTTCCCACCGGGTAGGTGAACAGAACGAGTCATACATAGGGTGTGTGTGTACAGCAGGCTTCTGTTTCATTCTCGTTCCTATCGTTACTGTCATTGAAACAAATGATTTGACCTTGACTGATGATCGTGTGTGACTACTATCATGCGTGCGTATTTGCTGGTGTGATCCAGTTAACCAGCTCTGTCTCTGTATGTGGTAGGTCTTCATCCGCTCGCTTCCTCTTACCGGAGCGCTCTCTCCTGCGCCCAGCGTGATCCATGCAGACTGACAGGTTAGCTGCCGTGCGTGTTTGAGTGCCCGGGGGACGCATTCCGGGGATCAGTTGACAGGCGTGAGCGACTACGCGTTGACTCACATAGATATTGGTGCACGCGATGTAGGACGGACTAGCACACACGCAAGCACTCGCACACAAATAAAGAAATAACTCGGTATAGCTGTCATTGTTTCATTTGTTACCGTCAGTTGTGTTTTCCTTTACAAACTCAATGAACGACTAATTAAAACCAAAACTGTCAGAAGCAATTGATGCGTTAGATTACTATTTGTTCCTATCCCCTTAATAGATAATGTGTGTCTGTGTGCGCATGCGAGTCTGCCAAACACCCGTGCAGTTTGTGCATGAGTGTGCGTGAGAGCGAAGGAGACGAAGAGGAACCAAAAGACTAAATGAAATAAACTCAAACGATCGCGAAAGTGAATGGTTAGTGAAACGAGCATAGACTAAGATTGATTTCTTTTAAGCTCTCTCCCAATTCAACTAATTAGAACAAAATAGATGAGTTTGGAATAATCGGACATATTACCCTGTTCATAGAGGAAATTGCCCGTGTGTGTTGTGGGGGTAGGTAGGCTGGAGTTTACGATTTCTGTACATCATTGTCATTCATCAAGATAGTGACAAAAGTGCTTTCTTCATATGAAGTTTGCCCTATTCTATGCTGTTTATTTTCTTTATTGCATTACAACTCTGTTTCCTTTTATTCGAAGCATAAGAAGTTTTAGCTTTCATACCATGAACGAATTTTGAGCTATTCTAGAACAAAAGTAAAGCATACACATCCCTGGGCTACGGCTGCTTAGGACTGCGATTGTTTTGGGTCGAATTTTGACTAAGATAACATGTTTCGTGAATCGGATTTTAACAAATGAGAAATATCATTTTTTTACAGTTGTTTGAAACACCACATAGTTCCGAGATGTTTTTGCAAATGATGTTGCATTGGGTCAAGTTCGTGCACGGGTTCTGGTAACCATTCTTGTCTACCTATTTCATTGCAGCTCTGCGCTGCCGAAATCCACATTGTTGCACTTCTGCCCGGATTATCTGAAGAAGAGAGTTTTAAAGCTGGAGGATGGAAATATTGACCTGGTTTCTGGCTGACCCGATGCGATAATAGTCCAAAAGGCTTTGATACCTGTGAATCATAAATTAACAGTCATTTGCGTATCCAAATCACTTAGTGCCTTGATACATAAGTGACTTAAAGTAGTTCCCTGTGCTGTTTATAATACAATTAGTGAAACGTGATTGTTCACACAATTGGACGATTGAACAATATTCAGGAGCAAGTACGCAGTCTGTTTCCAGGACACGCTCAACAATTTTGGTCGTCCGAACCCGAACGCATGGAGAGGCACACACTTGAAAGGGTCAGACTTTTGACGCGTAGAAGGCTTGGATTACAGATAACTGTTAATTATCCACTTTGGCTTGTGATAGAGTAAAGGTCGGTTCCGGTTTCAGGTCTTTACGAGTCACCATGGTACAAACGCCTACAGAGCAATGACAGGTTAGGTTTTCTCCATTATTTTTCATAATATCGGATAAGAAATGACAAGTGTCATCCCGATCAAAAGGTCAAACATTTGTCACTGATAATTTCATGACTTATGAGAAACTGGTTCTGGTTACACTTGTGCTCTGGTACAACGATCAATGTATCATGCATTGTTTAGGCATTTCTGTCATTTTCATGTAAAGTTTTGTTCCTATTTATTCACAAAGCTGCTTTCGATATTTTAGGCTCCCTCCTGGTGGGGAAAATTGCCTTGATCTCTGTTCAACGATTGTTTCCATTTGTTGGACAATATCATTTTTTTGCAGTCGGTAAGTTGTCCTCTATTCGATCACATGGTTTGTGTTTCTTGGGGGGGGGATGCTGTTTAGGCTATTAACTCAGTGGCAGGCTCCAAAATGTTTGTGGAAACAAAATGCGTCATATAGAAATGGAGTAAAGAACTGACTGTTAATCTGTTAGTTTCATCCATTTTGCTCACTGAAATGAACAAATGCCGGTTTTCTATTTACTTCAATTTTTAGCCGCTCTCACAAGAACTGATCCCTTTATTCATCTGTTCAGCCTGAGATTCTGTGGTGAACTGACTATTACCACCAGATAATCAGTCCCACATCTTGTCTTTCTGAACCATATAACCGCGAGTGTCTAGAGGACTGATCTAAACAGCGAGAGGCCTCTAGGTTATCGCTGTTTGCTTGTCACACAGTGCGATGTGTGCACCCAAGGCCACAGTACCACAATGGTGACCGAACCAGGGGTCAAGTAAACCAGCATAGCACCGCACCATCTGTGCGTTTATGGAGAACAGTGATGCTAGTTATTTACCCAGACAATTAACTTGATTTCCTTTATTTTTAATAACCTCTGGATAACTTGAACTGCCAAATTGCCTATGCAAGCTTTGATTTTATTAGTGATTTGAAAAGAACTACGGACTTGTCTTCCTTTGCTATCCTCATAATATGTCACATAATAAGTGCATTGGATTTAACCGTTGGTTGTAGTCCCGTAACAACCAGTAGCATGAGCAACTTGAATTGTGTATTTTATACTTTTTTGATGATCTTGAATAAAAAACATAGCAGCACAGTGTGGCACAATTTACTTCCCAAAAACAATTCGCTGTATCTCTTTAGGTACATACTACAGCCAAAGAATATAATGAAAACCAACAAGTAACATTTACCGCGGATGAGCTGTCGGTGTTATATTCATCCATTTGTCTACCAAGGTAGGGCTAGAGTTACAAATAACTCTTTCTGCTTGCACAGTTCAAGCTTCCATCGTTCTATAGCAATCACCTCTGCAAACTGGAGCAACTGAGAGTCTTGTGTGATGAGGACACGTTTAAACACCGTGGTCACGGTCACTTGATGCACAGACTCTAAAAATCCGTGTCCTGCCTCACCTGCTTGTACCCAAACCTAGTTCTATAAGGTAGTTGACCCTGGAATCCATTTACCTTCTTGAACCTCATCCAACCTTTTAATTTTGTTCAAGTTGGGGCTAACCGTCCCATTCAGTGAACCAACAATCAAAAGTTCCCTCTGAGCTTCCGCTTCGGTGTTCCCATTTGTTATTTGTCACCATCTTGCTTTCTTCCCCAGGGGCATCCATCTGCATCTGCCACTCCCGTTCTGACAATTATCGTTGCCAAGTATCTGTCACTACTTATAATTTTTTACGGACTCAAGTTGTCTTTTCTCTTGAGAACTACTAAATTGTGAAACATTTTACTTTTTCCATCGCCCCCTAATTATAATTTTCAATTTTCAAAAAGAACAATTTTCCTTGATTTTTCCATGATTGTTCAACATCCTCTTCCTTTATTTGTCTTCAAAAGTTTGGACCACAGAATTTATTCCTTCTACTGCATTGTTAATTGAGGAATCAGTGATGTATTGAAATGTGATAATCCAACCCAGTTTATGACTTTAAGCACTTGTGAGTTTTAAAATCTGTAATATTGTATTCTTGTCACATAGTTCGCTCATGGACATGTCACATTTATTGTAGCCACGAATTTTCGAATGATGATTTCATTTACCGATTAGATGATCTCTATAAAGTTGGTTTTATTTGGCCTATTGACTCTCCTATGGCGTTAGAAAGTGATCCAGACAATTTCCAACACATACAGTTATGCACTCTGCATTCAGATCAACTTCCTCAAAGATAATGCCTGCTTCTTATCGGAACCCAAGTGAAAGTACGCACCACTCGGTATCTTTTCTTTCGCCAAATCCAAATTATCTCTGTTGTATTTTCTGACTGGAATTAACACACTTTTGAGTAAGAGAAGAATCAGTACAATGCAATACAATGACAATACAGCACTGTGTAGTTGGTGGTTAAACTCAAGGAAGTCCATTGATCTGTGCGTCAGAATTAAATTTTTGATTTACTTACTTATGAGTAGTATAATCATAAATAAATCATTTAAAATGGAAAGGTGGCTCATGATGACACACCAAGAGCGCTGGACAAATGTTTCACGCTTGTATAGACTCATCAGCAGTGCGCACTATTTTTATATCCTTTCCGGGAGTCAATAATTGAATCTGATAGTGGGTTGCCAAAACTCGCTTCTGAGCTAGACAGTCTCCACTGGCAAATTAGATCATGCCATCAAGTATAAAATGCATCATTAAGTAGCTGATTACCAATCTCTCAAGAGACAATCTTGTATTGTAAAGAGAAACTAAACAGACAATACCAGAGGGAGATGTTTGGCATGATTTTAGAAAGGTGGTGTCAAAAGTACTAGAAAAGTTAAGCGACGCTCAACAGTGGAGAAGATTAGCAGTAGAATTAAAAACAGAATACTGATTCACATTTCAGAAACAATTACGTGTGAGTAGTGGTGAAAACTGATTTTTTTCAGGATGTGTTGGTAAATAGGTGAGAGGACCGTTATGGATCACGGTAAAGACAAACGTGGAACTTGATACATACGACGTCTCGTGAGATGCCCTACTAGGCCACACACGGGACGTAGATTGGTGTCATATTTTTAGGTAGCATGTGCTCAGCAGATGCCTTTAAAGGTGAGCGTAAATTCATGCACCAGATTCAGCGNAATTTCATGGAAACATGCAAAGAATTCAAGATAATGTACAGATGGCACAGTTGGTATTCTGAAAAAGGATTTATTTTGAAAATTCCATTCAAAATAATTCATTCGACTGCCCTGACCTGTCGCAAACGGAGCGTTTCCAGTTGCCGAACTAGAATATGCGTTCACAAATAAATCGGTTATCGAAATGCTACAACTGATCACGGCATTGCCAATGCCCTTTTTCGAAACCTGGAAAGGTCACGCGACTAAACATTTATCCAAGATAGTTAGTGCTAGTGTTTGTTGTACTCAGAGCAGACGAATGCGGAATTCAGTAGTGGCATCAGTCTTCTCTATCGGTTAAGCAGCTGCCGATTGTTGGTATAGTGTGAAGCGCACAAAGAGTTTAGCACACCATTTTTCATTCAGTAATTATTTGTTATTTAGGCTTGATACGTGTCTCCTCATTAACCAATCCACGCACATCCTTTCGCAGTTGTTCTTTCTCGGTCCTGGATCAGACACCTGATGTTTTTCCCAATCGCATATCTTCGTAATTCTGACGCGACCAGCCCGTTTGGACCAGAAACAATAAATAGTGAACAAATTGGTATCCGAAAACAGGTATCATTCAGAAGGACTTTTGTCAGACAACGTTGTACGCATCTCCCCAACTGGTGCCACAATTTCACCACCTTCATATTCACACTAATTCCCTGTGCATCTTTTATACTGGTAGGCATTTCAAATTTTGTGATCAGCGAAAGCGTGCTAAAACTACTTATGCATCATCTGCTTATATTTGGTCTCAGTATCGTTTCTATTTCCGTGAGTCTTTATATACTGTTCTCTTTGGTCAAACAATGTCAATATCATACGGTCCTTAGTCATCTCCCCTCAGTCTGGAAATCTGAACCAACACTTCCTGTGCTTTTGATTTGTCTCTCCATTATCACGTGTTTTGTACACTTCAAACAAATGATTTGCACCCTGTACGCAAAACAATCAGTTGAGCCTTCAACTAACGGTCTTTCGTTCTTTCTCCTCACTCATTCAACTTTGCTTGTGGATGTACTATGCCAATTGGGCATTTGTTTCTATTCCATGGTTTCACCCTATGACCAGACACACAAATCAGACAGCACCAGAAACACGGACGAGAATGTGATTGCAACCAATCCAACTGTGACAATGCTACCAGATTCGGTGACCAATCGCGTGCCAATACTTCACCGATTCATTGGATTGGTTAATTTCTGTTTGATTATCTGTTGTGCAACCGTTCCTAATTCGATGGAAATTCCCTGTGCAAATATTTCACCATGTTGGCCCAATTTGGCTGAGCAGAAGGAATTTGCGAGTAATATGAGCTACACGTGTGCATTGTGGACAAACTCAATGTGTTCCATTCCGTATGCACTGCGAATTGTATTCCTTCTAAAATCCGTTTATCTTTTATGATTGACTCGTTCGTTTGGAACCAGACAAGCGTGAGAAATGTACATGGTCACACCAAAACACACA